GGTGATTTAGTTCATATTAACAGGGACGTTCGGTGGTAAATTTCAATGGTTTCAGGAATAAGTGGATCTAGGTGCATAATATCCTCCAGACTTTCCCTTTCTCCCTCTCCTCAGTGATTTTATTTAAACATGCCCACTGAAAACTCCAGACTTCAGACTTATTTTCCAACCAGCATAGCCACTTCTGGCAGGAGAACCTCCTTTTTCCAGTGACTTCTTTAAAACACAGAATTCTCATGGTCTTGGCCGGGGGTGGGATCAGCTGTACAAAACCTAATGACTGAGAATAATGGTTTGAATGTTCACCTAAGGACAAATGACTTGGTATTACCAAAAGAAGGGAGAATGGATGCTGGGTTCCACAAACCCCTCAGATGCCGATTATCACTGGGGTAATCATAAATCTTATTATCATATATCTTTTCAGAATGAAAGAGGGCACTTTTAATAATTATGCCAAGACAACAGGCTCAGACCAAGACTGTCCCACGTGAGTGTTGTCACCTTAACTATAGCAGCCAAGAGCCAAGGAGCCAAGGGTTGCCTCATTTGACCCCCAGTCCTGTAACTTAAATCTCTACGGCTCCCTGGGAACAGGAAGGAGAGGAGGGGAAGGTACTCAGGGCTCAGAGCTCAGCTGTGGTAGAGGGTCACTGAGTGGGGTGAGGATATACTGGGAGACAGTCCCAGCTCTGGGCATCCACCCAAACTCCACTCTTCCCCAAACAATACTCCCTGCCTGGTCTCCCATGCTTCTCTTCATGCCATGCATGCTGCCCGTGCCTTACCAGGTGCAAGCACATTCATTGCACTCTGAGACTCTTCTCCAGCTCTTTCCTCTCCAGGTCCCTTAAATGCCTCTGCCACTCTCCCAGCCTTCTTGGCTTCCATAGCATCTCAACGCTCAGCACAGGCTCTGTGTGGGGTGTGGCTCCTGTCTCCACCATAGGGTAGGACTTTGTTATGGGTCTTGTCTGTCTCCCAATCCCCTGCCACATAGACCTCAGCAGTGCCAACTGAAGACTCTAGGCACAATAGATTTGCTAGGCTAAGACCCTCAGCTGTCTGTATTCCTCCAGCCCAGAGAGTCCTCTCTCCTCCTCACTGCCCGCTTCCCCTAAGTTCCTGGTATCAATCAGCAGGGAATTCTAGCCAAAAACCTTCTCACGCAAAGGCATGCAAACTTTGACCCAGGATTGGGTGTTCAGCTCCAGGCCAAGGTCCTCAAACCTCCTGCCACTCAACCTTCTTTTCTGTCCAGGGCTCAGTAAGGGCTCCCTCCTGACTTTGTGGCTATTAGTTCAGACAGGGCTGGCTAAAGCAAAGTGCAAGGCCTCCTGCAACCCCTGGGCACCTGACTCCTCCTGTTCCAGGGTCTGGGGAAATGGAAGCCCTGGCCCAGGCCCTGATCTTGTCCTCTTTGGCCCCCTATGGTTTTGCTTCTAACCTTGGACAGAGAATCACAGCAGGAAGCGCCTTGGCCTGGAAGCAAGAAATCAGAGTTCTTAGTTGATTTGCCACATGTCACTGGACCTTTTCCTTCCTGGCATTAGGGTCTCCACCTGAGAAGGAATTGGCTTTGTTAACTTTGTTAATGAATTTGTTTGGAGTCAAGAGAACATGAGTAACTCAAAGCACCAAGAACAAGGATTTCCTGGGTCCCTGGCCAGGAGCCCCAGCACTAGATAGTCTTTAGGCCCTGCTGAGTGGGCTGCCATGAGTCTCTCAAGCTGGGGCTTTGATGGAGACTCAGGGAAATTGAGGGAAAGGTTTGTAGGCTGCAGAACAGGCTTGGAAGTCTGGGACTGCTTTGCTTCTCACTTCTTTTCCATGGCTTCCACATGGGCTCATTCTACTCTCTATAGCTCTAGTTCCAACTAAAACAGAAGGCCAGACTTCTTCTCAGGCGGAGTCAGGATGTATGGAGTGGAATTACTAGAAGAATTCTGAAAGAGCCCAGCTCCCTTATTTCCTGCCTATTCTGTTGCCCAAGCGCCACCATTAGAGCATTAGTACCACCATGATAGCATTAGCACTTTGGGTTCCACGTCACTCTTGCAGTAATACTGCTGTGTCCAATTCCTTTACCAGACATTCATGCCTTACCTGAACTTGGCACATCAAATCAATTTCCCACAGGTTGATTTTCTGTAAAACCAGAAAGAAGTAGCAAGTTTGGGTCTGGTTCATAGTAAATGTCAAATATACTGAGAATTATTTTGGAGAAAGGTGTTAGAACTGGAGACCAGGAGAAATCTGATCTGCTGTGGAGAAGATTCAGGAAGGCATTTTGGAAGAAGTGATGTTTTATCTGAGGCTCAGAGTAGGGGGGACTTAGGAGTAGAGGCTGGCAGACCTGGTACATTCTGCTAAAGATTCTTGTTTCTGTCCTGAGATGCCAAATCTGTTTTAAAAGGGCGGTGACAGAAAGAGGTTTTGCATTTTAAAAAATATTTTTTTTTAGTTGTAGATGGACACAATGTCTTTATTCTATTTATTTATTTTTATGTAAAGCTTCGGATCGAACCCAGTGCCTCACACTTGCTAGGCAAGTGCTCTACCACTGAGCCCCAGCCCCAGTCCCAAGAGGTTTTGCATTTCTGAAAAGGGCTCCTTGGGGAAGAAAGATTTGGAAAGATCAAGGTTAATGGGAACCCAGTTTGAAGGCTAAGTACTTTAGGGGTAATGATGAAGGTCTAGATGAGGGTGTGGCAGTGGAGCTGAACAGTCTTCAAAATGGAGAAGTGTCCTTGCCTCTTTAGTATATTCTGGGCACAGGAGCCAGAGTGATTGCTCAGCTCAGACCCCAGTAAAATTTCCATCTCACATGGAGGAAGTCTCATGTTTCTTAATGGTGTGCTCCCTGCACAGGTGTCAGGGTCCCCCCTGGCATCTCATCCCTTCCCCTCAGGGAACTAGATGGCAGGAGAATTCCCACGACCCCTACACATTTCCGTTGGTCTCTGGAATTACCACCCCTCTCTAGAAGCAAATGTGGAAGGCTTCTTCTTCTTCTTTTTTTTTTTTCTGTCTCCTTCTTCTTTTTTTATTACTTATTTATTTATTTATTTTTTATTATTAGTTGTTCAAAACATTACATAGCTCTTGACATATCATATTTCTGTTCCGTTTGCTGGTGCACTCTTCGTCCAGATACCTGTGCACCTAGATTCTTGATTGAAAACTTCTGCTTCTGTAGTGTCATCTCAGCGAGTCGTTTGCCAACCACCCTATGTGGAATTGCACATCTTTTTGTCATTCTTACCCCTTCTATACTCATTTATTTTTTCCTATAGCACTTTTCACCTGCTGCTAATCTCTGCATTTGCTTGTCTATTAGCTGTTTCCCCCATCAGAATGTAAGGCCCATCCGAGCTGGAGCTTCGTCAGTTTTGTTCACCTCTATATCAATCACCGGCTCAGAATAGTGCCAGGCACATGGCGCTTGGTAAATATTTGCGCATTGCATGAGGTGGTATCTGACTGGAGTGGGACGTGAAGGGGCTAATGAGGTTGTTTTCTGGCCTGGGTTACAGRATACATGACAGTGCTGTGTTCCGGAGCTAGTCAGAGAAGGAGAGTGGTGTTAATTGGGGACAGGCTCAGCTAGACACGCGAATAAAACTTTTCTCCCTGGATATATCGCATGAAGAGAGCTCCGTAGGGGTCCTGACCCTGCCTCCAAGGCAGAAAGCCAGGCGTGCAGGGCAGCACAGGGACTGCGTGTTCTGCCGCAGGCGTGGACCAAAAATGTGGACATATGCAGACCTTCCTGGCATGCAGAAGCCTACTCCGCACGCAAACCCTGGCCCTTTGCACCGCCAGTCCCGCTCCATCCAATCGCGCACTCGCGACGCTTTCTTCTCTCTACCTCCACCCCCCAGCCCTACGCCCAGCAGAGATTGGCACTTTAAGAGCCACGCCCCCGATACCCCTCCCCCGCCTCGCGTGACTGTGCCGAGACCCGCGCCAAGCCGGGGAGTTGGGCGTCTGGGTGGCTGTGCAAGCCTCCGGGCTCTTCTCACGCAACTCCAGGGCACCGCGCCCCGGGCCAGGTGGGGCCGGGATGGGCGGCCCGACCTCTGCCCCTTGGAGGGATGTAGCAGGCGCACGCGAGCTAGCTTGGGGAAGCTGCGCGCCAGGCGCCCCCTCCCGGTTCCTGGGCTCCCACCCTCTACCTCGCCCCGAGACTCCTAACCCTCTCGTCGGCCACCGCACGAAGCCCCACTCTAGTTTCTCTGTATCGCCAATCAAAGCTGTAGCAGTCCTGGGAATCAAGAGGGAAGCTCGGGGGCGGGTGGGTCCCGGGTGGAGGTGTCCCTGCGTTGCAACCTAAGGTGCCCCTAGGAGGTGGCAGCGAGCGTTAGCGCTCAGCTAGACTACACGCCGTACCATCTATTCCCGCCCCTCCGTCAAGGAGCGCGAACTTCTGCTGACCGTCCAGGCGCTGGGAGAACAGGGCTCTTGTGGCCTTTTGGGCCCCTGTGACCTTGGGGCTAGGGTCGCTGAGCTTCTCATGCAAGCTGGGACTCACTAGCCCCGGAGAAGGTGGTCACCATCCAGCGAACCTGCCCCTGTCTGCCTGCCACCCACTGGCTTATAGTGGGTAGAAAAGCACTTGCCCACCCTGTGTTCTGATGGGCGTAAAAATGATGGAGATGAGTACAGGTGCTCTAGGATGGAGCCCCCATACCCTCTCTTCAGGTTGTCTGGGACTTCTCCATCAAACCCCTCCCTTGGCTGAGTTCTGGGGCTGTCCATGAAAGTGGGGGTCTCAAGTGTCCCCAGTCCTCACCCTCTTCCGTGCCAGTACCTTGATGAGGTTCCCGTAGTGGGTTCTCATCTATACCCCTACCCACTTCTCCTTCCGGAAGCGACCATCCCCCTCCCTGCCCCTCCCTCTGTCCGGTCCCGGAGCTTCAGAGAAGGAGGCGTGGCCGCACGCACAGCCTCCTATAAAGGTAGTGGTGTCTGCACCCTCAACCTGAGGGTGGCAGTTCCCTGGAGCCTTCCCTGAACCTCTTTGGGGTCTCTGCCCCACAGACCACTGTACTTGGCTCAGCACCTCCTCGGAGGCAGCAGCAGGTGAGTGATGGGCAGCTTCTGTCTTGCTCCTTCCCTCCCACTAAAAAAAAAATTTTTTTTTTGGTGACTCCAGGTCTTTCTAGGTAGCAGCTAGTCTAGCACCACCAAAAAAGGAGGCTAAGAGCAACTGTAGTGACTAGGTAGTCTGGACCCTTAATGGGGAAACTGAGGCCAGAGAAGAAAAGAACTTGCCCAGGGTCCCATGGTTAGTAACAAATCTTTAGATATAGACACCCTCCTTTCAGGATTCCAGGACCTATGCTTCCTCTCCATCTCCATTGACTCCCTGACAACTCTGGGGCTATCTGGGATCCTGGAAGAGGACACACAGCTGAGGGAAGCTGGGAGTGTGTGACATTGGGGGTAGACCTTCTCCCTGGGTGGGTAGGGGTGAATGAGGGCATGGGATGGGTTCTTACTTGCTGTACTCTGCTAGCCCTGATGGCCTCTACCCTCCAAGGGTGGCTTATCAGAGCTGAGATGCCCTGGCCTGGTCAAGAGGGGCTGATCACAAGCCAGGCACACAGAAGCACACTGTACTCAGGAGACCGAAGCAGGAGGATTGCAAGTCCAAGTTCAGCCTGGAAAACTTAGGGCTAGAGATATAGCTCAGTGACAGAGTGCCCCTAGGTTCAATCCCCAGTAGGGGGTGGGGAGGTTGATCTGACCAGGAGTCCAGGAGCCTTTTCTACTCTGTCAACTGTCTCCTTTTGTCCTTTGCTGTGAGACCATCAGTTTGATGCAAGGAGCTAGAAATACCAGTCCCTGAAAACTCACCAGTCATATCCCCCTTGGCCTTTTACTATTTTTCAAAGTCTGGAGGTCCTTGGGGCATTTATTGTGTGGAAGGGAATACCATGGCACACCAAGGCTGGCAATATCCCCATCTCACTAAGGGAATCAGAGACCTATAGTCTTTGGGGATTCAGCTCCTCCAGGAAGCCTCCCCACCCCTGAGGCAGCTGTAGTGCTTGAGGGAGGAGCCTACATCTTGTCTTGTGTGGTTCTCTTTTAAGGAAATCTTGCAGGCAAGACTGTGAGGTTACCCAGGGCAGATCGGGGTCTTCTCTTTCCTAGAAAGCAGCTGGGCACTCTGAATTGGGAAATATTGTCTTACCCTCTTTTGCAGGTTATGTAATCGGAACCCAGAAAGGTAAAACAACTAATCCAAGGCCATTTGGACTAGACACTAGCTCTCTTGACCTCTAGTCTAGTTCTCTAGCAGATGCCCCAGGCAAAGCCTGATGCTTGGGAGAGAGTGGTTTGTGAATTTGTACATCCTTTCTAGGACAAGCCTAGAAGGTCTTTTCTCAGCTTCTGTTAAATTCAGATCCATTCCTGATTTCCCTTACTCCAGTTTGCAGTTTTCTTAACAGCCCTGACCTAGTGGGAACTGTCCATTTATTCTTTGTCCTTTTGGTGACTTGCAAAGGTGGGGGGGTAGCCTAGCCAACCTATTCATTAAGAATTGAGTACAACAAAAATATGTTCTGGATTTCTGTTACTGGGGACTCAATCTGACTGTTTTTCAACTACTTTTAAACTGTGGAGCAATTGAACTCAGAGAGCTGGGACTGAGAACAGTGTGGCTTGGGCAGTAGCCTTTCTGTCTCCTGTCCCCTCCCTACCATGCCCCAGGATTTGGCAGGATTCCTTAGGTCCTGAGCAGTAGAGAACAGGGTTCTGGGAGACATTCTCTCATTGATCTTCAAAGGAGGTTCCCGTGACAGCAGGTGGATACTCCAGGAAGCTTTCCCTGAGAGTTCCGAGTCCTGACTCTTATTTCTGGGTGATGATGGGCAAGTCAGTGTCCCCTCTATAGGTCAGTTTCCCCAAATGTGAAATGAAGCCAAAGGAGCAGATGATCCCTAATTCCTGAGAGAGCATGGTTTTCCCAGGTGTAAGGACACAAAGGGTCTTGAGGTGACCCATATTGTGATATGTTTATTTGAATATGTTTGTGGGGAAAAATAATGGGAAGCAAATGATAGTACTGATACTATACGAAAACCACAGAGAAAGATTAGAAGATTCTGTTTTAAATTGGTACAGCAGTTAATAGAAGGTATCGTGAGAGTTATAATCACAGCTTCTTGGAAGCCTGAGGCGGGAAGATGGCAAATTCAAGGTTAGCCTATCTATCTCAAAATAAAACATAAAATAGACTGGGGGTGTAGCTCAGTGGTAGACTGCTTGCCTAGCGTGTGCAAGGGCCTGAGTTCCATGCCCAGTACCAAGAAAGTGTTCTGAAAGCAGGTGGGGAGTCTATATCTAACACTTCCTGGGAGACATTGAACAAATTACTTAACCTCTCTTTGTCTCACTGCAGCCTCCCTTGTAGCTTATGGCCAAGACTGAAGGACAAATTACTGAAATTCTTGGTACACTTAACAGTTTCTGCCAACTCCCTTCTCTTCTTCGTGCCCAGTGAGCAGTTCTGACTGAGAAGTTTTCTCCTTTCTTTGACCAGCATATTGACATTTTAGGATATTGGCTTCTCCCATCCTCCATCTGATGGCTTGATTTTTTTTTCCTTTCCTATCAGCAACCACCTGGAAGATCCCTCCACAGATCATGCTTTCTGGTGGACTCCCGCTCTCTATCTCAGCCGCAGAGCTGCTCCTGGCTGCTGCCATCTTCTGCCTGGTATTCTGGGTGGTCAGAGCCTCAAGGCCTCGGGTCCCCAAAGGCCTAAAGAGTCCACCAGGGCCCTGGGGCTGGCCCTTGATAGGGCACATGCTGACCCTGGGGAAAAACCCTCAGGTGGCTCTGGCAAAGCTCAGCCAGAAATATGGGGATGTGCTGCAGATCCGCATTGGGACCACACCTGTGGTGGTGCTGAGTGGCCTGGACACCATCCATCAGGCCCTAGTGAGGCAGGGTGATGACTTCAAGGGCCGGCCAGACCTCTACACCTTCACTTTTGTTACTGGTGGCAAGAGCATGACCTTCAGCCCAGACTCTGGACCAGTGTGGGCTGCCCGCAGGCGCCTGGCCCAGAGTGCCCTGAAGAGTTTCTCCATAGCCTCGGACCCCACTTCTGCATCCTCCTGCTACTTGGAGGAGCATGTGAGCAAGGAGGCTGAGTGCTTAATCAGCAAGTTCCAGGAGCTGATGGCAGATGTTGGGCACTTTGACCCCTACAGATATGTAGTGGTGTCAGTTGCCAATGTCGTCTGCGCCATTTGCTTTGGCCAGCGCTATGACCATAACAACCAAGAGCTGCTTGATCTAGTCGACCTGAATAATGAGTTTGGGGAGGTGGTTGCCTCTGGATACCCAGCTGACTTCATCCCTATCCTCCGCTACCTGCCCAACCCTACCCTGGATGGCTTCAAGGACCTGAATAAGAAGTTTGAACACTTCGTTGGGAAGCTGGTCAAGGAGCACTACAGAAAATTTGAGAAGGTAAAGCCTAGGAAGAGGCAAGTGGGTGATGGGAAGCAGAGATAAGAGGAACAGCATGGGGTTTGGCAGGTTCTCAGGGAGGCTTCATCCTAGGGATTAGAATCTGCTAATGGAATGGACTCCTTCTTTGGCAGGAAAAATAGAACTTTTCTTGATTAGCCCTTCTATGCTTCCATCAGAGAGCAAGAGCCACTGAATAGCCACCCCATTCAGGATCTGGGCCAGTTGTTGCAGGAATCAGGAAGAGTTAGTCTCCTGGCCTCACAATAGAAGAAATTTAAAAAGCACATGCAGATGATGACAGTACCAGACTCTGCATCAGGGGTCCCTTGGGTTGGGGCTACCAGTATTCTAAAGTAGGAAAGGGCCTTGGAGAGGCAGAGAGAAGTGGGGATAGCAGCTGCAGGGAGTGTCACCTTTGAACAAAGGTGCTAGTGATAGCAATGGTGAGGAACCAGGCCCAGATGGAGAGGTAAGTCTGATCCTAGGATCTTGCTCACCTGTGTGTCCTTCTTACCCAGGGTCACATCCGGGACATCACAGACAGCCTGATTGAGCACTGTCAGGACAGGAAGCTGGATGAGAATGCCAATATTCAACTCTCGGATGAGAAGATCATTAATGTCGTTTTGGACATCTTTGGAGCTGGTAAGAATTACCCCATTGTGCTATTGCTATGTCCATGTACCCTGATCTGCCACCTGCCTAACTTCTCTATTCTACCCTCTCCAGGGTTTGACACAGTCACAACTGCCATCTCCTGGGGCTTAATGTACCTGGTGACAAACCCTAGGATTCAGAGAAAGATCCAGGAGGAACTAGGTAGGTGTTGACTCAGTTGAAGGGGTTCCAGGCAGGGGACACTGTCAAGGTCTGGGAAGCCCCTTAGTACATCCAGACCTTTGTGTTTTGCAGACACAGTGATTGGCAGGGAACGGCGGCCCCGGCTCTCTGACAGACTCCAGCTGCCCTATATGGAGGCCTTTATCCTGGAGCTCTTCCGACATTCCTCCTTCATCCCCTTCACCATTCCCCACAGGTGAAGCCTCACAGGCCAGTTGTCATCTGATTCTGGCCTTATTCTAGTTTCTACACCCAATCAGGAGGAAGGGATATGGCATGGGAGACAGGGGGATTCCCATGAGACCCTGAGCCTGACTGAACTTCCTCCTTCCCCAGCACTACAAGAGACACAAATCTGAATGGCTTTTACATCCCCAAGGGGCGTTGTGTCTTTGTGAACCAGTGGCAGATCAACCATGACCAGTAAGTTGAGAGGGATGGCCAAACTCCAGGATGGGCTGGGCCCACCCTGTCCTGAGCTTCGGATCTTCCTATTTATGGGCCACTTGCCCATTCCCTGTCCTTTGGGACTCAACCTACTTGATACTTCCTGAGATGCCACCTCAGCTGCCTCTGTCTGGTTACAGGAAGCTGTGGGGTGACCCATCTGTGTTCCGGCCTGAACGGTTTATCACTTCCAGTGGCACTGTGGACAAGACACTGAGTGAGAAGGTCATTCTCTTTGGCTTGGGCAAGCGCAAATGCATCGGAGAGACCATTGCCCGCTTAGAGATCTTTCTCTTCATGGCTATTCTTATGCAGCAGCTGGAATTCAGTGTGTCACCGGGCATGAAGGTGGACATGACCCCCATCTATGGGCTGACAGTAAAGCATCCCCGCTGTGAGCACTTTCAGGCACAGGTGCGCTCTTGTGGACCTGAGAGCCCTGAGGCCTAGACTCTGACTGCAGGGGTCTGAGATACCATGCCTGGGGGCAATCGCCTTTGTCTGCCTTATCTCCAGACAGGAGCAAAGAGGGTCTCTTGTTTGTCAGACTCCAGTTTCTGTTCAGGAAGGGCCAATACTTGTGTCTAAGAGGAGCAGAAAGCAGAGAAACTGTGTGGACTGTCTTGACACTAGGACCAGGACTAGAGAGAGGAGTGGTGTTTCAATCACCTTCTCCTTGTCTCCTTTCTCTATGTCAGAATAAAATATTGTTTTTAAAATGTTTGTATACAGTGGCTGGGGTTTGTGGCTCAGTGGTAGAACACTCACCTAGCACATGTGAGGCCCTGGATTCAATCCTCAGACCACATACGAATAAAGAAATAAAATAAAGGTATTGTGTCCAACTAGTGTAGTGTAGTGTCTACTAGTGGTAGAGCACCTGCCTGACATGTATGAGGCGCTGGGTTTGATCCTCAGCACCATATAAAAATAAATGAAGGTATTGTGTCCATCTACAACTTTAAACAAAAAAAGTTTGTATACAATGACCTTTTAATTCTAGCTTACATTGTAGTTACATGTGTGCATTTGTCATATATAAGAGCTTAAGAACCATTTATTTGTTGCCATAGATACAATTCTAATGTAAGCATCCTGAAATGTGCAGGAAATATTTAATTGAACTGAATAAAAAATGTTACCCACAAGTCCCATGGATGAGTGTTTTTCTGAGTCTGGAAGAAGCCATCAGTCGTGTGCATGTCACCTCCCACCCAGTCTTGTGCTAGGTTTTCCTATTGGGGGGACGAAAGGAAGCTGGCAGTGGACAGGTGAAGTCACTGCTCTCAGGCAGCCTGTGTAGGGAACAAGAATGTCACTTCACTGACTTCCTCCTTCTCTAACTTAACACACTTTCGTGGAGAGTTCTCTCTGAAGCAGACACTGGTAGTACAAGATGAATAAAGCAGTCTCTGGCCAGGGCACTGTGGCAAAGGCCTGTAATCCCAGCTATTCTGGGAGGCTGAGGCAGGAGGACTGCAAATTCGAGACCAGCCTCAGCAATTTATTGAGACCCTCTCTCAAAATAAAAAATAAAAAGGGCTGGGGATATGACTCAGTGGTAAAGCGCCCCTAGTGGCAACCCCCAGTACTGAAAAAGAAAAAGAAAACAAAAACGAAAACAATCATCTCTGATTTCAAGAGTCTCCCAGACTGGTATAGGAGACTGACTCAATTTATGGTGATCAGGGCTCTACCTGACATGCACATAGGAGGGGAGTGTCCAGAGCTCTGGTGGCAATATGTTATTTTTTGGTGGGGCTGGCTGGGAAAGGGGATGCTGAGAGATTTCCCAAGTCTTGGGGATATCTCAGCTAAGCCTTTTATGAAGGACAGGAAGCAATCTCACTAGAAGGGCTCTCAGCTCAGAGATTGTAACTTGCTCCCCTGTGTTCATGCTCTGATTCTGCAGACATAATATACCCCAAAGCTAATCAGGTGGAGAACAAGGTCTTTGTGGTGTTCTCATTAGCCCACATTTCAATGTTGAAAATCCCCATCCATTTGGGAGAGCAGAGTTGCAGTATCCTGTAGAGGTGGAAATTAGACCCACATCACCAGGAGCCATTCTGACTAAGAGGCTAAGGGGAGACACATCTTGGGATTTGACCTTCTCCCAGCCATATCCCAGCCCATCCTGCCTCCTGAACATTGGGTAGCAGTTGCCATTAATGCTGTCTGGCATATGCACATGGCTCCCACTCACCAAAGGTTTCAGGTCACCATAAGGAACAAACTGAAATCAGCAGGAGCAAACTCTTTGTGTGTGGAGATGAGCTTTTGGTACTTAAAAAATAACATATGTTGGGGGCTAGGGCTGTAGCTTCCTCACATGCATGAGGCCCTGGGTTCGATCCYCAGCACCACATAAAAATAAATAAAGATACTTTGTGTTCATCTACAACTAAATATATATATATTTTAAAAAATAACATATGTTGCCAGGTGCAGTAGCACACACCTGTAATCCCAGTGGCTTGGGAGGCTGAGACAGGAGGATTTCAAGGTCAAAGCCAGCCTCAGCAAAAGTGATGCACTAAGCAACTCAGTGAGATCCTGTCTCTAAAATACAGTATAGGGTGGGAATGTGGCTTAGTGGTCGAATGTCCCTGAATTCAATCCCTGATAACCCCCCAATTTTTTTTTAAAAAAAATAACATATAACATAGATAAACCTTGAAAACATGCTAAGTAAAAGAAGCTAGAGAAAAAAAGGGGACATGTTGCATGATTCTATTTACATGAAATATCAGAAAATGCAAATTTGTAGAAATAGAAAGCAGATTAGCGTTTGCCAGGGAATGGGAAGTAAGGGAAATTAGAGGTGCAGGGTTTCTTTTAGGGGTGATAGAGGTATTCTAGAATCAGATAGTGGTGATGGTTGTACCTCATGAATATACTAAAATCCAATGGGTTATGCAGGTTAAAATGGTAGAAAAAAAGATTCACTTTAAAAAAGATGGGGAAGGAGGAATGGAAACAGCACACACAAAACAATTTATTAAACCTATTTTCAGTAATCACATTGGTAATGGTAATATTAATACTGCTCTTTTGAGTTGGGCATGGTGGTGTGGGCCTGTAATCCCAGCAACTCTGGAGGTTAAGGCAGGAGGATTGCAAGTTTGAGGCCAGCCTCAGCAATTTAGTGAGGCCCTAGGCAACTTAGTGAGATCCTGTCTCAAAATAAAAAATAAAAAAAGGGCTGGGGATTTAGCTTAGTGATAAAGTCCCTCGGGGTTCAATCCTCAGTACCAAAAAAAAAAAAGTATTATTCTTTTAATATCATAGTGTGATGTGGTAATTAGGGAGACAGGAGGAGGAGGAGGAAGAGGGACTCAGTGGGAGGACAGGCTTACTTTTCATTTTGCACAAGTTGAAAAGTGCACCAGACCAGGAAATGAGAATCCTTCTCCTGGGCTTGGATGATGCTGGCAAGACTACTCTGCTGAAGCAGCTTATGTCTGAAGACATCAGCCATATCACCTCTACACAGGGTTTTAACATCAGAAATGTACAATCACAAATCACAGGGTTTTAAACTGAATGTATGGAACACTGGTGGACAGAGGAAAATCAGATCATCCTGGAGGACTTATTTTGAAAATACTGATATCCTTATATATTTAATTAACAGTACAGACAGAAGAAGATTTGAAGAGACTGGTCAGGAACTAGCTGAATTACTGGAGGAAGAAAAGCTGAGTTGCATGTCAGTGCTTATCTTTGCTAATAAGCAGGATTTTCTCATAGTGGCCCCTGCCTCTGAAACTGAGGAAGGACTGAGTCTGCACACCATCCATGATCCAGTCTTGCTCAGCACAGGAGAGAGCATCAGAATGGCATACATTGGGTCTGAAAAAATATCAATGCAAAGAAGAAATAAAATCTAGACAAATGCAGAGCTGTGGGGACTGCATTGGGTCCTGAAAAACACTGACCAAATGTTTTTCCATCTGTGTACAGCTCCAGCTGTTTGAAGAGAGGGAACAACACAGTTTAAAAAGAATCCTCATTACAGCAGTAAATTTAACTGACCTCTAAGGTTCAGTATCAATTTTTAAAAATTTTAGTTGTTGATGGACTTTTATTTTACTCATTTAGTTATGTGCAGTACTGAGGATTGAACCACAGTGCCTCACACATGCTAGGCAAGCACTCTACCACTGAGTCACAACCCCAAACCCTAAGTATCATTTTTCAAATAAAGAAATTATATTTTTCCTTTACAAAAAAGATTGTAGTGTGATTCAGGATTAAACAAATAGGTAATTAATGAAGATAGTCTACTTAATCATCTCTTTTGTCCTGGGGAATCAGAATTTTTGTTATGGAAAAGAAGAGATACAGATGAAACATAGAAATGGTTAAGTTTATGAACTCATCCTATCTATCTTCCTAATGTTAGGGGAAATTACCAACTCAGCAATGAGTAGCCTAATTCCCTAACACCCAGATTATTATGAATTTTTTTAAAAAGTTAGGCCAACAATTTCACTTCTAGGTCAATTCAAAAGAATTGACAACAGGTGTTCAAACAAAGACTCATATAGGAATGTTTATGACTGTATTATTTGCAACAGCCAAAATAATGGAAATAACCCAAATGTTCATCACCTGCTAAATAGACAAACAAAATGTGGTATATCCATACAGTGGGTTGTTATTTAGTCATAAGAAGGAATGAAGTCTGAACATGTCTAAGTATGAACACATGACTATATTACCCTTTGGAATTGTTCCTGCCCTCCTCTACATCACTCAACAAGTACAGACAGTACTGTACTGCTCACAGAGGTGGTTTCACAGTTCCATTCCCAAAAGACAATATTTTTTAAAATAAATTTTAGCAAAGTGATATTTTACTACCTCTATATTTAACATACAATGGACACTTCTAAACATCTAGACAGACTAGGAGTTTCAAGTAAGAACTCAATTTGTTCACTGTGTACAGGATAGTCTTGAATAAATTGCACACATGTAACAATAGTTCTATTTTGAAAATGTCTTCAAAATGTGAATATTCTGGCCCTTCACTGACCCAGTGGGTTATAATGCTGAAATTTTCAGAGGACAATCTTTCCTAGGTATTTTAACACAAAATATACACAATTTGTTTATTAATTCTACGTTTGTCATACACTGGCAACTTCTTTAACATCTAGAAAGGACTCATTTGTCCTTTATATACACTACATACAGAGCAAAGTAAAACATGTTCAGACATGAGTTTTCTATATGTTTTGTGCATTTTGTTTTGTTGTGTATCTAGTATATAGATGGACAAAAGAGCCCAGGTTTTGTAACATCTAATCTCTAGATGTTAAAGAGTGTATGACCAAGTAGTTAGAAAAATTAGCACATTTTGTACATTTTTCTGTTGAAATCCATAGGAAAGCTTTCCTCTATCAATAACAATAACTTTTGGGTGTGAATTCGCTCAACCATCTCTAAGCATTCATATGTTTCTACTTGTTCACTGGATTGAAAGTAGAGAAAGGAAGTGAGGACCGAAAGGTTCAAGGACAAAATATTAGAAGATACTTCTGATTACAACCATGGTTGTGTGTGCAATTTTATTTACCAATACTGTGTGCATAGTGGACAGGTTCTTATGTGGAATATCTAGTCCTTCTATATATTTAGAAGTGCTTGATTAACTTAGAAGTAGTAGAATAAAACTTTGTGTAAGGGTCCGGCGAAACGTCGGAGTAAGAGACCACAAGAGACTCTCTTATGCAACAGCAGAAGGGTGGGTTT